AAACATGGTCCATCAAACAGGGCCTTAATGAAATAAGTTTGCACATAGAATAAGAAAAAATGGAGAAAAATTATATATATGTACTTATAGATAGGGGCAGAAGAATTTATTAAATATAAGCTCTTTAATTTTAAAAGTCCTAGTAGCACTGGGTTTGACTTCATACTTTAAGGAATATATTTATTCACCAGCGATTCTTTGCATATCATTTTTCATTGATTTAATAAGGTCTTGGGACTTGCTCATAGAAGTTTAGTGGTACTTTTCACACATGCGCTATATAATTTACTCCATATAAGTTTAAAATAATTTATGTGAGAAAAATTTATTGTTTATGAATTATGCCTATAAGTAAATAACTGTTCATAATTTTATATTTAAAAATCCATAAAAAATAGTTTTTTCAAAAGAAGATTTTATTCTCCCGTCACATGTGTTGCCTAATTTTGCATAATTTATCCATGCGTACTTTTTTTACTCATTCATTGATGTGTTATTTATAATATTTCTAGTCTTCCTTTGTTATTCATGACAAAGTGTTTATTTTAGAAAGTTGATAAAATTTGAATTTGATATTTGAATTGTGGGGAGTCAAACTAATTACTTGATTGATTGATAATCTGACTAGCATGATTGGATATTTTACTTATTGATATCGTGTTATGTGTTTTGTATAGTATCAATATAATTATTTTGTGTTGCTAGTCAACTATTTATCTTAGGTATATGTCTTATTATAAGTTTCCTCTTGCATTTCAAGTGGTGGTGTTGTCATCATATATTTCAGGAAATATGTATGACAAGATTTGAGTTAAAGTTTGAGAATTGAGTCTTTGTGTAGATTGTTATTAAGTTTTATTTTTAATATTTACTTTAAAATTAATGATTTTGTCATGTAATGTTGTTAGGTCTTTATTTGTAATTGACTATTCCTTAAACAAAATTAAAGTAATGGAGTTGAAATTAAACTCAAAAAATTAATGGGTTGGTAGTAATGGTCTTGAAGGATCAACCAACTCAAAATATCCTAAAAGAACACATATGACCAATGTGATGCAATTAGAAGTCAAGGGAATATCAAAATGGCGCACAAGTTATGCTCTAAATTCTTAGTCACAAGTTACGATACATTGTTCACATAGAAAAAATGTGAATTTGAAAATGTTAATTCTACAAGGATTGTATTCCTTTAAGTTGTCTTTTTAATATAATTTGAATTACCTCAATCGAATATCGAGAGAGAAACATATAATGAAAATACCGATGACTGCGGAGAGCTAGTTGGCCGCCACTAGGGGCTCAAGCAGTCGTGTTACGTGTCCAAACTCTAGATTGCAATTTTTAACCTTTTTACAATTCCAAACACTTTATATTATACTAGTCTGAAGCACGTGCAATGAACGTGCTACCAGCGTAATTGGCTATTTAATAGCTTGATTGTAGAAGTTTAATGAAACAAACATCAATTAATGAAGTGCCAGAAGATAGATTTCACCATCCATGTCGGCCAAAAATCAAAAATAAAAAACCTACCACTAAACAAACTGGCAATTAAACACGCTTCATTACCTTAAGATCATCAAACTAGTAATTAAACACGCTTCATGTTGGCCAAAAATCAAAGACTACTTATTCATTTCTGAAAAAAGAGGTAATCTAAAGTGAGAAATTAGCAATACAGTTCATATATCTAAAATTGAAAATCTAAACTAANTTCTTCAAGAACTACTTGCGTACAATTTGTAAATCTAATTATTCATTTCTGAAAAAAAAGGTAATATAAAGTGAGAAATCAGTAATACAGTTCATATAACTAATCTAAAATTGAAAATCTAAACTAACATACTGAATAGTGAAAAATATTAATATTTTTTCACTAACTATGCTAACTGGCAAGCTAGTTTGTACAAAAACTACATCTACTGGCTTAGAAAAAATACCTCACCTAAACTCTCATCAATCTACTACCAACATTATGGTGGTAACCAATCCGGCCATTTTACCAGCACTTCATGCTGAATTGCAACCTCAACAGCATGCACGCACTTATCATCCTTTCCCCCCCATCATCAATAGCCTTCTTCAGAAACGTATAAAACTCATATGTTTAAAATTCAAAGCAGGTGAAATCCATATTACTGTGTAACGCGGTGCTTGTTAGCTACATGTTATTATGGTACCCTCAAAAACCACTCAATGTCAGTAAATCAGTGTACAAATAATTAAGCGCCATGAGCAGCACCAATGGTAAAAGATGCGTCCAAAGGATAAAGCATCCCCACCCCCCAAAAAGAA